CAGCTGTGGAGCCTCCCTTTCCTCATGCTCCCTCAGATTATTGTGGGGAGAATAAATAATGACAGTAAAAAAGAGGGGCTGAACCTGATAGAAAACATGACTGATTTTCAAAAGTGAGCAAATTAGTCACAAGCCCATTGTGGTTATGGCAGAGCTACAGGTACGTGGGTGTTTGGCCTTTTGCTGCTGAACAGCCAGTCCCAGGGTGATCACAATTTCCCTTCTGGCCTTAAAAGCTGTTAATGAATTCCTGATCTCCCATGGCCCACCTTCTGTTTGTTTACCTGTGAATTCTGCCTTGCTTCTCCCACTGGGCATCGAGGTGCCCAGGCCTTGGCAGGACTTTGATTCATCCAAAAGGAATGGATTTCTGTCATCTCCAGGTATAAACAACCTGCTCTGAGAGGAGTGGATTGTATAGGAAAGGGACATCTCCCCATTGATCTGCTGCTTAGTCTTTATAAGAACATTGTTCAATCATATAGACACATGTATAGATAAATATCACACACGATTTCCTCCAACGAATGTGAAGCCATGGAAGGGTAATTTAGTTACATTAAACAAGTCTTATCCCCTAGGAATGGACTTTCTGTGGCTGGACCTTGAGCTTTCACTGGCATCCAAATCTTAGTTGCTGTCTGTTCTTCCCAAGCTCAAACAGTAGCCAAATGCTTAAACCTACACCATATGGTCTTTTGATTTTACTTTTGGACAGGAGTCAGGTCCCCAGTGCTTCCTCCTAAGTGGGCCAGACAAACCTGGAGACAACAGGATGCTGGGGAGGCAGGGCTGTGCCCCAAAGGAGCTGCAGGAGATTTAATTTCCCTCCCAAGGGTGTGTCTGGGCCCTGGGAGGGATGAGACAGGCTCGTTTTTCACTTGGAGCAGGGTTGGCAGCAGACAGGCCACCTGCAGCAGCAGGATGCAGAGCACTGAGTGTCTCATTTGCTCAGGTGTTTCTCCCTCCCACCCTTTACCAAAGACCCCACTGCTGAGGGGTGCTGTGCAGAGAGGCTGTGGAATCCCCACCCCTGGAAGTGTCCAAGGCCAGGTTGGATGAGTCTTGCAGCAACCTGGGCTCGTGGAAAGTGTCCCTGCCCACGGCAGGGGGTGGGATGAGATGAGAGGTCCCTTCCAATCCAAACCATGCTGTGAATCCCTGATTCCCTCTGTGCAGCACAGACACGACCTGTCCATGGCAGAGGGCTCTTCAGGAAGGGGTTTTCCAGACTTAAGCCCCTGGGTTCAGAGAAGTCACCCAGCAGGAGATCATAGAATCACAGAATCAGCTGGGCTGGAAGGGACCTCCGAGATCATCAAGTCCAACCCTTGATCCAACCCCGCTGTGGTTCCCAGCCCATGGCACTGATGCCACATCCAGTCTCTTCTTAAAAACCTCCAGGGAGGGAGAATCCACCCCTTCCCTGGGCAGCCCATTCCAAAGGCTGATCACCCTCTCTGGAAAGAAATTCTTCCTAATATCCAACCTAAACCTCCCCTGGCACAGCTGAAGACCCAGCCCTCTTGTCTTGCTGATGGTTGCCTGGGAAAAGAGACCAACCCCCCCCTGGCTCCCCCCTCCTGTCAGGGAGTTGCAGAGAGTGAGGAGGTCTCCCCTGAGCCTCCTCTTCTCCAGGCTGAGCCCCCCCAGCTCCCTCAGCCTCTCCTCACAGCACTTGTGCTCCAGTCCCTTCCCCAGCCTCGTTGCTCTCCTCTGGACCTGCTCCAGCCCCTCCATGTCCTTCCTGAGCTGAGGGCCCAGAGCTGGACACAGCACTCCAGGGGTGGCCTCACCAGCGCTGAGTCCAGGGGCAGAATCACTTCCCTGGCCCTGTTGGCCACCCTGTTCCTGAGCCAGGCCAGGATCCACTGGCCTTCTTGGCCACCTGGGCACACTCTGGCTCCTGTTCAGCTTCCTGTCAGCATCTCTTTTTGCAGCAGCTCCCAGGTCTGTTCACACAACATAAAACCTTGTGAACCCTCAGCAATCACCTCACTCCCTCATCCCCGTGATGTGGAGCCTGAGCTCTGGTTCATCAGTGCACAGGTACCACGTCAGAAACAACCCAATCCCATGGGAATTACCCCAGGAGCCCCTGCCCAGAGCTCTCTGTAACCATCATTTTCTGTCACCCTCCCCAGCTCTCTCTGCCCAAGATCAGGACACAGCTTCTGGTTGATGGTTTTGTTTTTTCCCTACCCTATTTTTAAGGGAGCCCACACCCATTAATTTCTCATCAGGGTTCAGAGTGCTCCTAATCATCCCCCTGAGATTAATTAGCCACCAATGAAGGTTCAGTCATTTTATTTCAATCATTTCATTTCAGTCATTTCAAGGCATCACTGGCAGATTCCTCAGCTGAGGTCTAAACACTTCTCACTTAGTCCTGCCCCAAAATGTGCTGACAATTAGGTCTATCTGGGAAATGTCCACAGCATGTCCACAATGCTTTTTTTGGTTTATTTATCTCCCAGAGTTGAAACTCTGGGAGGTTTGCAACTGATACTAAAACCAAACATCTCATTGTTCCCTTTCCCTGCACAAGTTACTTTAGTAAGAGCCTGGGTGAATGTCCAGGGGTTCTTGCCATCGAATTTGCTCTGCATTTCAACCATATAAAACAAGAAAGTTGGAAGTGAAAAAACCACTGGGGAAAGTGCAAACCTGTGGTTACAGGACTCCAGACTCATCTCATGTACTTTCACAAGAACCTCTGGGCTCTGAGGCTTGAAGGGAAGATTTGAAGAATGACAATGAGGTCATTTTTTCAGATATTCCCAGACTGCTCTTCAATGTTTGATGAGCAGCACTGGGGCCCTTGATGGAAAATGACTCCTGAGTTTTATAGTTTTTTTTTAGTTTGCTCTAATTTTTATTTATTCCAGTTTCATAAGGTGTTTGGAGAGGCTTTTTCCTAACTTTGGAGAGGTGATCTGGGCTTGCTGAAAGCCTTGTCTCCACAAAAGCAAGGCTGTGTGATACAGGTCTGTCCTTGCCTTGCTCTTGCTGGCAGTGTCTGAAGTGGTGAGTGATAACACCCAGTAGTGCTGCAAATGCTCAGCAGAAGTGATCAGATGCCTTTAGTATCTCCACTGGAGAGTTCATCTCCTGCCTTCTCTGTGATTCAGTAAAAATACCCTGGCATCAAATATTTATGAAACACAAATTAAGATTTAGGCCCTCGGATACCGGGGCTGGGTAACGATGGGTTTATGGGTGTTGAGGGGCTGGAAATGGGCTGGGACGAGGCACAGGGGGCTGCTGGAGGCCAGGCAGTGCTGGCACATGGCCCTGCTCACTCCTCTGCCCTGCCAGCAGTGCAGCCTCCTGCCTTCCCCTCGGAGCTACCCTGGGGCAAAGGGGGTTGTTTGACATTTCCAGAAAATTCCTGCCGGGCACACGAAGGGCTGTGAGCAAAGCAGGGTCAGTCCTGAAGTGACTCCAGCCAGGGGTGAACGAGTGAGATGCTTCTTTCTGCTCTGGAATTAAGGTAAAATGTGTAATCCAAGGGAATGTGGGCTTGGGACCCCTTTTTCTTATCAGTGAATCACAGTTTGGTTGGAAGGGACCTTGAAGTTCATCTCATCCCACCCCCTGCCATGGGCAGGAACACCTTCCACTAGCCAAGGTTGCTCCAAGCCCCATCCAGCCTGGCCTTGGACACTTCCAGGGATCCAGGGGCAGCCACAGCTTCTCTGGGCAACCTGTGCCAGGGCCTCCCCACCCTCCCAGGGAAGAATTCCTTCCCAGTATCCCATCTAACCCTGCCCCTGTCCATGTGAAGCCATTCCCCTTTGTCCTGTTGCTCCAGGCCCGTGTCCAAAGTCCCTCTCCAGCTCTTTTGGAGACTTTAGGCACTGGAAGGGGCTCTGATGTCACCCCAGAGCCTTCTCTTCTCCAGGCTGAACAATCCCAACCCTCCTGGCCTTTCCTCACAGGAGGAAATTCTCTCCATCACTCCAATCATCTTTGTGCCCCTTTTCCTGGCACACCCTCTTTCCCCAAAGACCCGGGGTGGGGTTTCTGCTCCCTTCATCTTCCTCCATCCCTGTGGCTGGGGAGTTCCCAGTGTTGTTCCCGGGGAGCTCGGTGCTGTTTCTGGGAGTGACAAACATCCCATGGACCACCTGCCCCCTGCCCTGGGGTGGAGGGTTGGTGTCACCAGGTCAGAGTGGGCCCTTGCAGCGTGGCCACAGGAAATCTTGGTGCTCTGCAGCTGGGGGAGGCTCTGCTGCCTGTTACTGGAAGTTCCCCGGGCTCCTTTCCCCATCCCTGTGTTTTATTCCGGTCGGCACACGGCGGTTCCACACACATCCCTTCCAGAACCTCGACCTGATCCCTGCTGGGCTCAGAACTGACAAAGCTCTACCTGGCCAGTAGTGAGGTACCTAATCCAGCAGCTAAATATAGAACTGCCAGAGCTCTCCCTGAACCTGTGCCAGCACGGGGAGAAAATCAATGTCCTTCCTCACACAGCTCCTTGACAGGCCTTTGCTCCCAGACTCTTATCTGGGCCTGTCACTGATTCCCAGATATTCCTTGATTCCCTTTAGAAAGCCCAGAGCCATCAGTGCCTAATGCAGAGCTGACCCTTCCCTGGAAAAGCACCTCTTCCCTCCCTTCAGGGCTCCAGCTTGTTCTCCCAGGTGAGATCCCAGTATTGAGATCTGCAGTGGTGCAGCCGGGCTTGGTATTTGTTCTTAAATTATATTGTTTCCTTGTGTACTTTTAAAGTAAAGGTATTTGCTTCTCCCTGGTAAGGCTCAGTATCCTTTTGGCATTTCAGAAAAGGTGGGCAGGATGAATTATTCATTTTAAAAGTGTGTGACATTATGATGGAGCTCCAGCAAAGTACATTTAAACATTACAAAATAGGATGAATCAGTTTAAACTCATCTGAGCTTATCATATATCAGATGAAATGACTGATATAAAGGCTAAAAAGGAAGAAAAAAAGCTCTTCTCAAACCATTTCTAAATTAGACTCCAAAACCACACCAAATACAAAAGAGGGTTTATTTTCAGATCATTAAATGCCAAAAGGTTTAGGGAAAACTGGTGAAAATACAGAGTTAAACCCCTCTTTGCTAAAAAGCAATACAACTCTTGGAACTGGGCTGATGTACATCCCTGAAAGCAGGAAAGGGACAGGTGGGGACACACCAGGGTGGATCCCTGAGGATCTGAGGACACAGATTCCTCAGGAGAACTCGTGTAGATGAGAAAAGGAAAAGCTCTGGTTGAAGCCTAAAGAATAAGGTGGTGAAAATCAGGAGAAAGGACCTCATGGAGGTGCTCCAGGAGTCTCCCCAGGTTTGTGTCTGCTCTGTCTCCTTTATTCTGAAGTGGGTTTTTTTTCTGAAAATACAAATATTAGTTTTTTTCTAAATCCCTCTGCAAAATCTCCTTCTGCCTGCATCCAAATAGGAGGATCCCTTTACCTGTAAAAGGGATGTCTGGAAGTGCAGAGCACTGGGAACAGGATGTTCAGACTCAGAATTTATACAGCCCTCGTTATTTTCATGAAAATTCCGTCTTAAAAAGTCAAATTTGGGGGGGGAAATCCACTCTAAGGAGTCCTCTAAGCAGAATTTCTGCTTGTCTTTATGCTTTAAATATTGCTTTTTGGTGACAATTGTTGTCCTTCCTCCCAGGGCAACTGCACTCCCAGTTGGACTGAGCACCACAGGAGTTTCCTTGAGGCTCCTGCTCAGACCTGGCTGGTTTGGGGTCTGGATCCTGATTTTCCTGATTCTTCTGGGGAGGCCAGGCTGCAATTCAGCTGAACCCTTCATTCCAGCCTTCCTGCACATTTTTTTCCCTAAGATTTCCCACTGTGCTAAAATTTCCAGGCTCTGGTCCAGCTGCTCCATCATCTTTTCTTCCCTGTCCCTGTTGGATGAGGAACCCCCAGGAGCCGCTCCTGCCCCCTCCCTGTGCTGCTTTGATCTATCCAAATATTTATTCCACGCCCACTTTTCTTTAAACTTTCCAAACAACTAAGCTTTTTCCCCTCCTAAAACCGATCTTAACATGCTTTTCCCAGCAGGAGTTACTGCAGGAATAACACAGATGTTGCAGGAAGAGCTGAGACGCAGGATTTTGGTTCCCCTCACGATTTAATGGAGCTGTTCTGCTTTACCCAAATCCCCTGGAAAACTCCCTTAAAGCTCCCTGCTGATGGGTGTAAACCCAAGGTCTGACTCCTTCAGATCACCGGGATGAAAGGGAATAAAAGCACAGGCGCTCTCGTGAGCAGCAGCTCCAAAAATCCACCCAGTTCAGCATCCTGTCACTCCCAGTGACAAATGGGCAAAAAAAAAAAAGACCCTGAACAAGGGAAAAACCTGCCACCGAGGCCATTTCTCTCTGAATTCAAAAGAATTATAACCTTTTCTAAATTCACGTTGTCTTATTTTGACGACGAGTCCTGGGTTCCGATAGAAATGTCGGTTCTGTCTGAACAGGCAGCTGAACTCCTGCTCCCAGGGATGTGCTGTGGCCCCGAATCCCTGAGGTTTAATCATGTGAAGGTGCATCCAGTGACCTGTTGGTTGAATTTGTCCCTTTGATTCGAGGCCTCTCAGCCCCTTCCCCTCTCGTGTCTTTAAGACCGGTGGGAATTGCCCCTTCTCACCTGGGGCTCTTTCCCCGCTCCTTAAAGGTGCACTTTTTGAAGAACAGGGCCAGGCTTTGATCCAATCGGGTTCAGAAGGCAGTAATTGCATTCTGCCAGGCTAAATTTCCTTGCAATTCCAATTGGATGCAGTGCTGCTCATTAGGTGAGGTCCTAATCGCCTGCACCGTGTTGCTGTGCAACAACTGCTCCAATGAATCCCCTGGGTCAGGAGACTGAGAGAGTCCTCCTGTATATTTGTAATTTGTAAAGCTGTAATGGGCCCTTTTCAAGGAATATTACTTAATATTTAATAACACTAATACTAATGGACTCTGCATTTGCTCCAATTAAACCCTTGCAAGAGTGGATTGTGTAAACTCTGCCTTCAGCTGCTGGAGTGTGGCAGGTTTTGGAGAGACTTTGTACTTGATGAAGTGAAGAGAGAAGTAGGGTAATATGATTCCCAAGCAATTATGTATTAGGTCCACATACTGCAGCTGCTGAAAGCATTTATCATAATTAATGGAACCACACTGATTATCAAAGGATGTTTGGATAATGATTGATTTGTCACTTGTTGTAAAGCCGTGCAGGACATCAGAGCACAAATTACACTGATTTACTGGAAGAGTTATAGGCTTTCAAGCAAAGCCATTCCTTAGGGGAGAGTCTGGGGCTCTGCTGCTCCTTCCTGGCCCTCTGGGTCCCTCAGAATCATTTCTATGGGATAAAATGGAATTAGGAGACTTCCTGCTAAGAGGGGAAGGGAACGTCCCCTTGAATGAAGGGACAACACTGCCAGGGCTGCTCCACATCTTACAAGAAAACAAAAACCTTTCTTTCTTCTCATCAAAGAGAAACAACAAATTGCCTTCAGCTGCACCAAGAGACCCCCCCCCCCCAGGAGGGGTTTAAAGCCCCCGGGGCAGCTTTTCCACCATCACCTCCCATTATTGCCTCGCCTATTCTTAGTGGAAGTTCCAGGTTTTCCCAAGCCAATTCTTTTCAGCCATTCAACATTTTCTCCCGTGTCAGAGGGAAAGGATGGCTTTACACGGCGTTGCCATGGAAACACCTGCTGGATACGGGCTGGAGATGGGCGAGAGAGAAGGAAATGCTCAAGAGAACTGAAAGCAAAGGTGCAGAAGCCCCAGTGGGTTTCTTTCCTCAGCAGGGCAGTTTGCAGCAGGGATCCCAGGTTTTTCTGGATTTATTTGCACAGTTCAGGGCAGTTTGCAGCAGGGATCCCAGGTTTTTATGAATTTATTTGCACAGTTCAGGGCAGTTTGCAGCAGGGATCCCAGGTTTTTATGAATTTATTTGCACAGTTCAGGGCAGTTAGCAGCAGGGATCCCAGGTTTTTCTGGATTTATTTGCACAGTTCAGGGCAGTTTGCAGCGGGGATCCCAGGTTTTTATGAATTTATTTGCACAACTCAGAGCTTCGTGTCAGAACCAGGGAATTTGGCATGCTGCAGCAATGGGGAAAAAGGACAAATGTTATCCCTGGTGATTTCATCACCCCCTCCAAAGTCACTGTCTGATTTTTTCCATGGAGATCTACTCCCAGCCTGCTCAACCCCCTCCCCTTCCCTCAGGCCACTGATGCAGCCAGAGCAGGGCTCCTTCCCTGTGGGTCGTCTTGGCAACATGTGATGTCCAGAGGGGTTCAAAGCCATGGGCAGGGGTTTCCTGGGCTGACCCCGTGTTCCCAACGCTAAAAGGCATTTTTGAGGGGGAGAATTAACATAACTTATCAGGCTGAGTGCACAGGAGGCATATTTTTAATTTTGAGCATGTGTATTTTACATTCCTGACTCCAGACCTGATAGTCAGTTCCTCCCTCTACCAACCTGATCCAGGGCTTTCTGGAGTCAACAGGACCCTGTTTTCCCCAGTGATCTTTGGCTCAAATGTTGCCATAAAAGCTTTTGGATCAAAGCACGTTGTACAGAAAGTCAGACAGGTATAAAGAGCATCTGTTGTGTTGAGTCATTTGAGTTTGTGCCATGCCTTAGACCACTTGTGGATAAGCTCTCAGCTTTCTGCTGTGTGTACACCACTTTAAACCAAGCTTGATGTCTGCCTCTCTAATTCTAAGCAGAGGGAAAAATATTCTCTGAGTTTATGCTTCGGCATCGTGGGCTTCAAGAGGCTGTGGGAGTTTAAGTGCTGGGAACAGGGCAGAGAGTTTCAGGAGGGTTTTAAGACCACAAACTCACTGTTCAGTGCTTCTGCAGCCTTTGCAGGACACGCAGGTGTCAGTGGAGAGATCAAAACCCACTGGGTAATTGTGAGGGATAAGTCCATGGATGGTGGATGGCTGGTTACAGGGATGACTTCATAAATCATAGAATCATAGAATCACAGAATCAGAGAATCAGCTGGGCTGGAAGGGACCTCTGAGATCATCAAGTCCAACCCTTGATCCAACCCCGCTGTGGTTCCCAGCCCATGGCACTGATGCCACATCCAGTCTCAGCTTAAAAACCTCCAGGGATGGAGAATCCACCACTTCCCTGGGCAGCCCATTCCAAAGGCTCAGCACCCTCTCTGCAAAGAAATTCTTTCTAATATCCAACCTAAACCTCCCCTGGCACAGCTCAAGACCCAGCCCTCTTGTCTTGCTGAGAGTTGCCTGGGAAAAGAGACCAACCCCCCCCTGGCTCCCCCCTCCTGTCAGGGAGTTGCAGAGAGTGAGGAGGTCTCCCCTGAGCCTCCTCTTCTCCAGGCTGAACAGCCCCAGCTCCCTCAGCCTCTCCTCACAGCACTTGTGCTCCAGTCCCTTCCCCAGCCTCGTTGCTCTCCTCTGGACCTGCTCCAGCCCCTCCATGTCCTTCCTGAGCTGAGGGCCCAGAGCTGGACACAGCACTCCAGGGGTGGCCTCCCCAGTGCTGAGTCCAGGTCAAGAATCCCTTCCCTGGCCCTGTTGGCCACCCTGTTCCTGAGCCAGGCCAGGATCCATTGGCCTTCTTGTCCCCCTGGGCACCCTCTGGCTCCTGTTCAGCTCCCTGTCCATCCCCACTCCCAGCTCCCTCCCTGCCTGGCTGCTCTCCAGCCCCTCTGGCCCAGCCTGGAGCTGCCGGGGGTTGTTGTGGCCAAAGGGCAGGACCCAGCACTTCAAACAGCTCCAAGTCTTAGATGTCTTCAGACCCATCTTTCTGAGTTCATATCTGTGTGGTTTCAGAGCTTTCTCTTGCTGTATTCCGAAATTTAAACTCGTGTCTCTCAGCTAGAGGTGCTGCCATGCTGTTGAGTGGTGACCAGAGCAGGATGGAGAGATGTAAGTACCCTGAGGATGGACCAGCCTCTCCAGGGAGGTTGTCCCCGTGTTCCTGAGCGGAGCAGCACCAACCTGTGCAGCCCAAGCCGCCTTTTCCTGCACAGTTTGTCTGTCTGGTTGTGCTGCCCAAAGCTAAAACGACCTGTGTAGCTCTGGAATTCAGTTATCCACCAAAAATAACATCCTTCTGGGAACTGGGTTTGAAAACTGGCTCTCTGTCACTGCTACAAATCATCTGCTAATTGCTCAGAGAACTATTGCAAGGAGTTGAGTGCTGAGTCTGTGCTTCCCAAATGTCCCTGTGTTTCCTGGTCATCCCTTATCCTGCTTTGATCCCTCCTGCTGTTACATTTTCCCCATCACTGGTTTTTTTTTTGCCTCTCTCTGCTGGGACCCTGAAATGTGTGTGTTCATCTTTAGGGCTCGATTTTCCCTTTTTGTGCCTCCTGCAAATCTTATTAAGCCTCGTTGTGTTAAATGGCAGAAATGTGCAGTTAAGTCTGAGGTTTTCAAAATGCATTAGACCTCTCTTCAAGTATGCAAAGTGTAAATGGATTTTTGTGCTTTGGGAATGCAGCAGTGTGTTTACAATTTTGGTTAGATAAAAGGATGCTGAGATGGCCTTTAACACTGATTTCACGTTACGTTTTTTCTCGGCTTTAATACAGCCTTGGAGGTTCTTTTTAGCGTTCTGATTTACAGAATGCATCGGAAAATGAGTTTTATTTTATTTATCACCCAGTAATGGGCTTTTCTTTCTGTTCTTCCTCGGTGTAGTTGGCTTTAAAAATAGTAACCTGTGTAATCTCGTTAGGTCAGGCTCTCTTCTTGCAGGGTTTCTATTGTAGGGTGGGTTGAAACACTGAGAAACACAAACTTCTTGCACTGGTTTGTTATTTTTCTTGTGAATCCAACTCAAGCCAAGTGAGCCACGACAGGTATATATTAAACCTGAGCCTTTTTGAACCTGAAAAGAAAGTTTTCTGAGCGATACAGTTTTAAATATCAGGAGAAACTGAGCTCTCTGTGTGCTGGTCGTGTAATTTTGGAGCACATCTGGGCAGCTCAGCTCAAATTCCCATTCTGCACATCCTGGGCTGCAGCAGCAGGGGCTGATGGTATTTATTCACCTTGCAGAGGCAGCTGGAAGGTTGTGTTTGTTACACATAAACTGCACTTGGACAGTGAAAGCTGCCATGGAAGTGTTGTACATAAATGGGGTGATTTGTCCAAGGAGGCTGACAAAAATAATGGCAAAAAATAAACTGCTCTCTTGGGTGAATGGGCATTATCTGTGTGTTATCAATCCTTTGAGGGGACTCTGGAGCCCTGGGGTGGCTCTTGCAGGAAGCAAAGAGGGGCCAAAAAAAACCAGGCCTGGAGTTTTGACTTTTTCAAGCGCCTTCGTTATTGAAATCTAAATTTAATTCCAGTTATGATTGCTTTGAGAGTGATGCCAAGTCCTATATAACCTGACCTACTTCAAAAGTGTATGGAGAAATATATCCATCAAACTGACCTTCCTTTTGTCATTTCACATCTCAGTTGTCACCGTGGAAAACTTGGCATTAATTTTTCAACAGGCAGAGAGAGACAGATGGGGTCAGACGTGGTGACTTGCAGGTAACAGGAGGAGTATTTGTATTGATCAGCAAAAGGAGATGAAATGCCTGAGAGATGGTGAATCTCCTGCTCATTCTCTCAGTTTATCTGTCCATGGATTTGGTGTAGAATTCCTTGATAAATTACTGGTTTGATGCCCTTAACTCTGTAGAATCCCAGAATGGTTTGGGTTGGAAGGGACCTTAAAGCTCATCTCATTCCAAACCCTGCCATGGGCAGGGACACCTTCCACTAGCCCAGGCTGCTCCAAGCCCTGTCCAACCTTGACCATTCCCAGGGATGGGGCAGCCACAGCTTCTCTGGGCAACCTGTGCCAGGGCCTCCCCACCCTCCCAGGGAAGGATTTTTCCCATATATCTGATTTAAATCTACAGTATTACCGTGTCTGTCAGCTCTGATGCTGCCTAACAAATGTGTGCCTATAAGGAGGTGCAAGAACTGGTGATTTAAACAGAAAACAAAACCCACTCAGTGTCTTAACCAGGAGAGGGTGAAACCTTTGGCCCATTCCATGGGTAGCTGGTTATATCCAGAGCTCTCCCTTGCAGATGTTGTGGACAGAGCTGTGGTGGATTCCTTGCAGTGCAGAGATCCCTGAGCAGGTTTGGTGCTGGCAAGCTGGGAGGCACCAGGAATATCCTGGCTGCAGCAGCACAAGAGCTCAGTTTAGATCCCTTTAGCCCACTGAAAAGCCACGTGCTGTGCTGTGCTGCAGAGCCTGCACTGCTCTGGCTTCCTCAGCTTGGCTGAATAAAGCTAAAAATCCATCACCTTCCTCCCTTCCCTTTGCTCAGCTGAGGGGTGAGAGGTGGTAGGTAGGAATAAATCATTGATTTGAGGCTCCTTCTTTCCCCCTACAAAGCCAGAACAGTGTAAAGGCACCTCAGTAAGAGCAGGTCTTGCCCTCTGCCCAGGAATATGTTTCTAAAAGAGGAGTCTCAGCCTTTGCAAGGGCGTTTTTGGCCTGTCTGCCTTTGCTATTCCACAGGTCTGGCCTCCACTAGACTTCCATGACCACTGAGGGCTTTTGGGGATGTTGGATTTCATCCAAGTGGTCCAAATTCAGGGCAGACTGGGCAGCCCCAGCAGGGCATCAGGAAAAGGACGTAAGGAACGTTCCCTCTTGTGCAATTTAATATGTGGGAAAAACATGGGCATGCCTTCTGTTTAAATCCCATTTACAGTTACAGATAGGCAAAGATTTCCAAGCCTCTATTATGCAAAGAAATTTCAGAATGAAATGTTTTGTGCTCAGTTGAGAAGTTGATCTTATGACCTCGGGGGAGAGAAAAACTGGAGAAAAGGAAACTACCTGCATAAAAAGCAGATTTACTGAAGTTTTATCGGTTTTTTTCCCATAATATTGATGGAAAGGGACATCCTGAGTGTTTGCAATGTTTTCTCTCAGTCCAAGTCTCAACTCCCTCCCTTGTGTGTGAAGCAGAAGGAACTGGCTCAGCAGCTGAGCCCGATCAGAGAGTAAAACATTAAATCCAAAGCAGCTCTCAGCTCCTCCAGCCAGGAAAATATCCATGTTTTATTCATAGATGAACACTAGTCAACATCCTCCAGTTCCCTGGATACAACCCTGAGTCTATAAATAGCTCTGCAATGACACAGCAAACCAACATGGGGATGGAAGGCAGCGGCACGGGGCTCATCCCACCCGGATCCTCATGGGAAAACACACTTGGAGTCACCTCCAGCAGCTGGAGCAGGGCAGTGGGGCTGCCCAGGGTAGACTGGGGTCAGGGGGCTTGTCCAGCCTGGATCCACGTGGGAAAACGTGCCTGGAGTCAGCTCCTGCAGCTGGAGCAGGGCTGCGGTGCCCAGGGCTCAGAGGGCTCATCCCACCTGGATCCTCATGGGAGAACATCCATGGAGCCATTCCAGCAGCCAGAGCAGGGCAGTGGGGCTGCCCAGGGAACACAGGGCTGCCTGGGCTTATCCAGCCTGGACCCTCATGAAAAAAACCATGCCTGGAGTCAGCTCCAGCAGCTGGAGCAGGACAGCAGTGCCCAGGGCAGGCTGGGCTCCCTGGGCTCATCCACCTGGATCCTCGTGGGAAAACATGCCTGGAGTCAGCTCCAGCAGCCAGAGCAGGGCAGTGGGGCTGCCCAGGGCACACAGGGCTCCTTGGGCTTATCCAGCCTGGATCCTCGTGGGAAAACATGCCTGGAGTCAGCTCCAGCAGCTGGAGCAGGGCTGTGGGGTCACCAAGGGATGCTGTTCCTCCCCCCTGGGGGGATCTCAAGTTCCTGACCCCTTCCACTCGTGCCCTGCCCCTCTCCTTTGCCTGCTGGTGTGTCCTGCCCCTGGTTGGTTCACTGACACGAAGCTCACCTGGATTTTTCTTGCACACCCAGAGCAGGTGTGTGTATGTTTAGCAGAAGAAAGCTGGAAGTAGTGGATAAACTTGGGATGGAATACAGTTGGGAAATAGAGAATAAATGCATGCCCAGCTCCCTAATGATGCTGTGCCTGATGTATGCTCAGTAATAATT